GGGAAATGTAACGACACAAATTTACAAAGTAAATTTCTGTGCTACATAAAGCAAAAAGAAGAGAAAAACACAGTCTGTGTGTCAAATAGCCGCCACCGCTACACATAATATATCTAACAACTCACATGAAAATAACTGAAGGCGACTTAACTGGAAAATATAAAATTGAATTAAAATATTTATTTGAAATATCATGGACATTACCTGTGATCCTCGATGCCAATGTACCGCGGGCATCGCTACATGTAATGTGCAAATTCTAAAAATATACGGAAAAAAAATTAACTTTTTTTTAAAACTTTTATGAATGGAACACTTATAAACGCAACAACAACGAACAATTATTGGCGAAAACATGTTTAAATTTTAAACAAATGTCTATTTTTTTTTTACAATTATATAAAAAATAAAACAAAACACAAAACAATTTAACACTCGTGGTTGTTCAATTTTAGTTTTATATGCGTAAACGAAAAACCCAAAACAGTTTAACACTTTTGGTTGTCCAATTTTATTTTGATATGCGTAAACAAAACACAACAAAACAAAACTAAGCACGCCAACATAAATTTTATTTCTTTTAATATTTCTTTTCTTTTCACATTTAAGTTGGTAAAAATATTAAAATCACAAAATATATATTATACCTCGTTTTAATTATTATTAAATTAATGTTATATATTTTATTTAAAAGAACCACACACAAACGTTGTAAAAAGTACTAAAAAATCACGGCGAAGCAGAAGAAGTGAGAAAACAGTAGAACACAAAGTTCAACTTCACGGCGAAGTCAAGTACAGCAAAGAATACCGGTACGCTACACCAAAAAGCTTCGGTATGCTCAATATAAAAGGAGGCGCATTTCGTATAATAGGGGACTTGGTTTGCGACAAGTGAAAGAGCAAGTACTCTGGCTCATTGGGCCTTCTGGTAAATTTTACCAAAACTTGAAATTTTACTTTTCCTGAAACAAGTACACTGGCCTATTGGTCATCTGGCATATTGTGCCACAAATCTGGTTCTTTGAGTCAAACGTAGTGTAAAATTCCTTTCCTGTCTTATGTGTATTTTTTTTAACCTGGCTTATTCGGTCAAATAGTTTTTTTTTACAGCACGGAGGAAACGTTTTTGTTTATTTTTTTTAACAACAGAAGAGGGGCTTAAGAAGTCACACGGGTTTTGCTAAGATTCTTTTAACAAGTAGTATATGGAGAAGTGGGAAATTTTGGCATCAACATAATTTTTTTATTTATTATTAGAATTGTTTCCAATGAATTTTAATTAAACTTTGTTAATCATAAGTTTTATGAAATAAATAAAGTTATATATATAATTTATACATATAAATCACGTTCTGTTTTCTTCTAAAACCAACGTCTCGGCAAAATTATAAATATATTGTCATGACTCTGGACGACGGCTGAGGATACCCCAGCAAAAACTAAAAATTTTTGAACGTCACCAAAAGTGTCGTTACAGTGTGTTGTATCATGTATTATTTATTTTGAAACCTATATGTATAAAAACCTATATTTGAAGACACATAAATTTTCTAATCTTGACGTTAGAGTATTAAAACCATGATTATTCTTCTACATTACTTCCCTTATAAGCATATTGCAAAACATATGATTCTGGGGTAGTGATGCTTGTGTTTTATTAAACAGCAATTATTTATCTTAAAATTTTAAGGTACAATAACTTTTATTGAAAAAAGTATTGTAAATATTTATCACAATTAAAATAGTCTTAATAAAAAAATCTTTTTTGTCATTATTGAAATATCTCGAATGTAAAATTAAGACTAGATTTGGTATCACTATATCATATCACACTATCAATTAATTAAGCGCTTGCATGTAAAACGCTAAATATATTCATAACAGTAATTAGATGCAAGTAATGTTTAGATGCAAAAAATTATTATGGTATGATAGAATTGTTTAATGAATTTCAATATAAATTTAATGACATATGAAATCTCATAAGTACGTGATTAATTAACTAATCACATCAAATTTTTATTTATAATAAAGTAAAAAATTACTGTTCCTACTAATTTAAGCATTCTGTTTAGTTAGTATAAATAAAATAATTAAGGTAAATTTTTTCTTGCCGATAATGGCGTGTCTTTTTATGACGAAAGAAACTATTTAAAAGTTAGACCGATTCGAATAGCAAAGAAAGGCAAAGACAAAAAATTTTTAATTAATTTATTGAAAATTTGGCTGACCATACAACGCTGTTTCGAGTATTGCAAGTACTCTACATCAGTGGTCTTTGGATAATCGAATTTTATTTAAATTACATTTATAGTCGTAAATAGCTGTTTCTCCTTAACGCGATTACTTGTAGAACTTGTAGAGAAACATTTGCATAGCTTATTTGTAAAATTGCACCCAAAAAAGGCGCTTTACATATAGTAAGTTAAAAAAATATGCATATCAGATGTCTCTACAAAAAGAATAGCTTTGAAACAAAAAATAGGCAAGCTCAAAGATTAACTTTCAAATCGTTGAACTTGAGTTTCCAAATAAAGCTGTAGTTTATAAGCTCGTTCTAATTTAAAGCACGGCAAGTGCTTTGGTTGGTGTCACTAATTAAATAAAAATAAGTGACAATAAAACCTGGAACTTGAGCATTGAAAGTTTGTGCAGCCTTGGCTTCTTGTGGATAAACACGATTAGTCATCGCTTCTAATTTGACAGGCACGAGTTCTAAGCCTGGCACTTGCAGTCCAAACAAATTATATACGGACTATAAACTAATTAAATAAAAATTCGATTATTTCCAAAGACCACTGATGAAGAGTACTTGGCAATACTCGAAACAGCGTTGTATGGTCAGCCAAATTTCAATAAATTAAATAAAAAATTTTTGTCTTTGCCTTTCTTTGCTATTCGAATCGGTCTAACTAAATAAAATAATGTTTCTTTCTTTTAAAAAGTTAGTAATTCGATATTAAAATTATCTTATGTTGTACATTAAAAATTTAAATAGTAAATTGCCAAACACTTTTCAGCTAAATTTTTATAAGTCGCGAATTATTTTTATTTCTGAATTTAAAACGTTGCTATTGATTGAGACTGCTATTGACTAATTTGATTATTTATATGACTAATATGTAAAAAAAAAAAATTACGGAGATTTGAATTTATTGATATTTTGGATATATAATAGCGTGGATGGTATTGTTCATCAACGAAATGTGAACAATATTGGTTCACAAACAACCAATTTGTGAATAGAAATCAGCTTTTAAAGTTGATCTGAAAGTCATTTCAAGTATTTTGCATTTAAATGTGCATTACCTAATAACTAATAACTAGTATTACTAACGGCACATATATATGATCCAAAGTATCTTGTAACCTATAAAATAATTTTCAAATTTTGCCATCGAAAGATATCAACTCAAAGCATTCTTTCGATTTTAATTTTTTTTTATAGCATAATTTCTGGATAAGAACTAAAAAATATTTCTTAGTAGTTCCCGTATATCGCTATCTTTCTTATTGTTAATTGTTAACTTGTATTAACTAAATTCTTATTAATATTTTATAATAATCACGGAATTCAAAATATTTGTTATAATGACATAGAAGCCATAGCCAATATCAATAGCCATTATCAATGGCTTCAGAAGTCGCTTGGATTATAAAAGTAATTGGAAACTGTGCTATTGAGAAGTTTAATCTCTCACTCCACTGCATGGAAATTCTAAGGTACTTTTGCTTGAATATGAAGAATGCACCATTAAAAATTTCTTATTTTAAACCTCATTTATAATTTTGATCAAAACCAATTATCTAATTTTTTCTATTTTTTTATAGCTGGGTTAGACAATTAGACAAGAATTGCTGTTAAAAAATTAATCATAAAAAGTATACTCTCATATGATGATATTTTTAGTTCTTCTTAATAATCTTATATTAAGTAAATAACCTAAATTTATTTTTCAATATTTTATTAATTGATAAGCGTAAAAATGAAAAAAATAATTCGAAAATAAAAAGAAAAATTTGTTGATACGAGCAAACATTGTACATTTTGTTTATATGTGTGGGTATACATATGTAAATAATAGCAACTTAATATGGGTCAAATTTTATGCAATGCTAATTTAAGAAACCATTTTTTTTGAGAATTTGTTACTTAAATGCAATTACATAAAATGATTTTATTGCACAATTAATGAAATATTTTTGAAATCGCATGCAGCATATTAAGAGCATATTGCAAATCTTTGAGAATTAAAAAAACTTAAAGTCTGGAGTGCCAGAGCAACTCAAAGCAAAAACAAGAGTGTTTATGTTTGTGCAATTACAAAAATTAAAAAATACCAAATATTTTTTATATACGAGATGTTTATTTTTATTATATATAGTAAGAAATTATAGGTGATTTCATGGTTCAAGCAATGACATAATGGAAGGTAATTTAGAAATTACCTACCTCTGAAAATTATAATTATAAGAAATACGAACAATAATATTGTTCAGCTTTTATGTTCTCGCGGTTAGCAAACTTGTAGAGAAACATTTGCATAGCTTCTTTGTAAAATTTGACCAAAGAAAGACATTTAATATTTAGAAAAGAACAGCTTTCAAATAGAATTGTAAGCTCAGCCAAAAGCCAAAAACATCAGAGAAAACTTTGAACTTTGGAACTAAATCATTACAACAATATGAATACAATTATTATATATTTCTAACATAAATATTATAATTACTTTTCATATAAATATCTTAAAATTAAAATTAAAATATTCAAAATCATGTAAATATACTTAATTGAAACTAATTGAAATGCAAATGACATTGTCAGTCTGAAATGATATTAATAACGGAACAGTTGAAATGCTATTATTGTATGAAATGCGTTACATGCTTAAACCAATTTGTGAAAATTGCATTTCACATACAATTTTAGCGGTTATCGTGCAACCTCTTAAATGAACTGCTTGAATGTAAATACTCAGTTTCAATAATCATCTCAAACTGTTTAAACGTTTCTACTAAAAAATTGTATTCATATTTCCTGTTCAACTAAAATCAATTGCAAGTTAAAGAAAAAACGAATCGAAAATGTTTATTTTTAATTTTGACTTGGAAACAAATTTTGATCCTCAAACGAAAATATGGAGCGGTGCTAAGCAGCAAAATTACTATGATCGAAACTGTTCAATAGGACAAATCATTTTTGAAGAAATGCGTAGACGCCCTAATAAAATATGTCAAGTAAATAATAAAAAAGTGAATCATATGCAAAAACTAAAAATTATATTCAAAATATTTTATAATATAATTAAAGTGTATGAATTAATAAATAAAAAGTCTCGTTAAAATTCTTTAAATCCTATATAACAATAACAAAAGAATAACATCAAAATTGCCAGCTAACTGCACTAAATCATTAGAATAGAAGTTACATCAAAAAAACATAATTAAAATAAGAAAATCAGATCAAACAAAATACTATACTAGATAATTGCACTAAAAATAACAGAAATTTTATTCAAATAAATAACAGTTTAATTCGCAGGAAACACACAATTTAAACAAAATAAACTCAATAGAAAAACTTCTATGCAATTATTTTCAATGTTAAAAATTAATTAACACAAAAATTAAACTAGATGTAAACTAGCTTTTGCTTGACGAAACATAAAATATTTTTTATATGAAAATTGGAATTATTTAGAAATCAAGCTACGAGTATTAACACAAAAAGTACTGCAATCTAAACACCCAATAATCTGTTCAAAATTAAATTGTTCCTATACATTGTTCCTAATAATAATAATAATAGGACTTTTCTATTCCCTTAGTATATGCACAACTTAGGTGCTGTAATAAAACTGTGTTTTATTAATATGGAAAATATGAAATCAAAATTCATTCGCGATATTGTTCTTCTAATTTAAGTGTTGTTAATAGTACATTTATTTATAGTAGAACTCATAAGTATTGCCCCAACAGCATTCAGATAAATAATTAAATAAAAACTAGTATAAATAACTTTTTAAGTAATAATAATTTTAAGTACAGATGTGATTGCTGTCATGACTCAGTTGGCCGATAGGAGTACTAAGAGTACTAGCTTCCAAATCCTTCGACACAACTATAATAAGTTAAATATAAAAGTTTGGACATGGATTAAATACATTAGATTAATTTTTTTGATAAAATTAACAAAACAATTAATATTTAAATCTGTTATAGTTAAATAGCAAAAAGCAAATACTGATCGTTGATAAGTAAATTATATATTCATAATTTATGTCATATGATGCTAAAAACTTTCTTTAAGTTCTTTAGACTGTATGGAATATGAGTTTAATAGAGAGAGTGAGTTAGAGCATTGAATAAAAATATTTTAACTCAATGGTCAGAGAGAGTAAGACTGAGAGAGTAAAATAGAGAGATATATCACATAGAGAGATATATTTTATATTATATTTTTGCCGTTATCACTTAATGGTTCTCAAAATATAACAACCTTTGAGTGATTCTGTACACACATATTTCTGATTTTACAGATAATGTCAATAAATATATATTTTATCATAAACAAATTTTGGACTTTATTCCTTTTTTAATATATTAGTTATCTGTCAAACAATGGAAACAAGTATGAGTTGCTAAACGACTTCTGTAAATAATTTTTTTAAACCACAATTACACCATATCTATGTTAGATTTCAGATACAGAAAATACAAATACAACAAATACTGAAGCTTTATTACAAGCCATACGCATAGCTAAATTTTTTAATTCTATCGGATTAAGTCAAACTGATATTGTCGGGTTAGTCGATCGTAATACCACGCATATGATGGATGTTGTCTTGGCTTGTTTTTTCACCGGTATAGCATTCCATGCTATTAATCCAAAACATGATGATGGTTTGTAATATCATATTCATACAAATCTTAATTACTAAGAAAGTTTTTAATCCTTAGCAACTTCAAAGCAATTATTTAATATAACAAAACCAAAAATTATATTCTGTGATGGTCAAGATTATGACAAAATGCTAAGAGTGTCAGAGGATTTTGAAACAAAATTAATAACATTAAAAAATCATTTACATAATGTACAAAATATCTTAAGTATCGTAAACCAAACATTACCGGAGGAGCTAAATTTTAGGTGAGTAGCATAAAGTAATTAAAAACATTATATTCCCTAATTGAAAATAGCATAAATTACGAATAACTGTTTACGGAACAACTAATTTGTAAAAACACAAATCACATATATTATATTACATATATTATATAAACCAAAAATATTAAATTGAATTTTAAACATTTTTAGGCCAGCTGAATTGGAATTTGGTCCAAATCAAACATTGGCCATTTTATGTTCATCAGGTTCAACAGGTCTGCCAAAAGCTGTCACCATACCAAACACGATGAAAGCTTACGACTTCACTAAGTAAGAATATAAGAATATATAAATTAACATATTTACAAAATATTTACTAATATTTGAAGTTACCTCACCGAGAATGACATACAATTTACACCATCTACAATGGATTGGTTATCTGGTTTACTAAATTTAGTAACAAGTCTTGTATATGGAACATTACGTATTATTTCAGATAAGCCTTATAGTCCGGAATATTTTCTGGAAGTTGTCGAAAAATACAAAGTTACTTTTACTATACAGGCTCCTTCCAATATGGCAATGCTGTTGAATTGTCCGGATTTATCAGTAGAAAAATTAGAGAGCATCCGTTATTTTCTATTTGGTGGAGGAAAATGTTCAACTCAAATTCAAGCAAAATTACAATCATATCTAAAGCAAGGGAAGCTTTGCTGTGCCTATGGCTTTACGGAGTTAACTGATGTGTTAACTAGAAACTTCAATTTTTTTAATAAACCAAATTCTGTTGGTCGCATTTTACCTGGACTTAAAGTTAAAATAGTTAATGATGAAGGTGTTTTATTATCACATAATGAAGTCGGAGAGATCTATTGCACCCATGACAAAATCTGGCAAGGTTATTATAAAAATGTTAAAGCTACTATGGCTTTGCGAGACACAGAGGGTTGGTTTCATTCCGGTGATATAGGTTATTTTGATGAGGATAATTATCTCTATATTGTTGATCGTAAGAAAGATATTTTGAAATATCGTGGAATGCAATATTTCCCAAATGAAATTGAGGAAGTCATACGTGCTATGCCCGAAGTAGTGGAAGTATGTGTTTGTGGCTTATGGAACGATTTGGATGGTGATGCTGCTGCAGCAGCTGTTATGCCAGTTGTAGGTAGCAATCTTACTGTTCAGCATGTTCTCGATTATGTACGAAACAACATACAGGCAGATTATAAACAATTGCATGGCGGTGTAATTATTTTAACAGATCTTCCTAAAACGGCAACCGGAAAAGCCAATAAATTGGCTGTTAAGGATATATTGCAAAATAGGTTAAACTTTAATATGAAATCCAGTCCCAGTATTGACATAAACAGACCAAACACAGTATTTCGAAGTTAAATTTATTTTTTTGGTAACAATATGTATATAAATCATCATCGTTGTTAAAGAAATGATACTATATTATTGTTTAAGTTTGAAATTGTACTATGGTATTACAGGTTGTTAAATTTTAACAGAATAAATAACTAACATTTCTAAATGTTTCTTTAATAAACTAAAACTAACTCTTAGTATTAATAATCAATTATTGATGGCAGCAATTAGAGCAATTGTCCTTTAATTTACTATCCAATTAGTTAATTTGGTTTGATGGATTGAGAAGTTATGAGAAATCAAATTTGGTTATTTGCAAAATGTTTGATCACTTATTTGTTTTTATATTACCACCTTCTTATCTTACTGATTTTCTGCGATTTGAATTTTAAATTTTTATTAGCATAAATTTTTTAATAAGTATGAATAAAAATTAATAAATTTATGCATTTATAATCAAAGCAAGTCAAGCAGCACAAAACTCAATTGATATCAGATATTAACCAACGCAAATTATCATTATTTTATTCTAGAGCAATAAGGAATAAACAAATAATGAAATTTAGGACGAACTAGATTGAAATTTTCCCTAGCAGTAGAATATATATTGTTCCCATTGAAAGGTGCTAAAAAATACATTCAAAGTCATTTTCTAAGAACATAAATACAATTCAACAGTATCAGCTATTAATCTAAACTAGGATGGTTAATCTACAATCGATCGAGAACAAAAACACAATCCTGATATTAAGCAGGATTAAAATCGAATTCGCAAAGCTTCGGTTAAAGAAGCTATTAATAAAAAGTAGGAACTTTACAGCATTTTTAGCGAAAAATACTTTTCAATATAGTTCACCGTGTCTTTTATACATATTACTGTGTTAAGGTTATTAGTTTCTAAGTAATATATAGTAATAATCAAGTATGTTTAACCATCTGTTGTTATTAATTAATTATTATTAGAAAATGGTATCGATTCTGAGAGTTGTTAAAAATTATGCCATTCAAATTGAGAAATTATCATTTAATTTTCTAAATAAAATTGAGTCAGTATACAAAAAAATTCTAAGGAGTGCAGGCTTTATGTATAGCTTCAAATTATCAACCTAAAAAGAAAATACATAAATTTCAAAATAGTTCCGCTATATCTAAATTGTAATGATTGGGAAAATAATTTCGAACGATTTGCTTATCATTTGATGGAGAGAAACGTTGAAAATACAATTTTAATTTGCGATCTAAATGTCAGAATAGGAAATATAGGTACAACAAAATATTGAAGAAATATTTTTAAATGAATTTAAATCAGGCATTAAGCATAGACAATCAAAAGACGTAGTCGTTAACAGCAGAGGAAAAAAGTTCATTGAGCTGTGCTAAAAACATAGAAATTAAACAGAGAAACATAAACAGAGCAACTCACCTACCTATATTAGTAGTAATAGTTATGTGATAAATGACTTATCCACAATCTCCACAAGAATGTGGATATAGAAACCCTTACGGTAGAAGAAAAAAAATTTAATAAAAACGCAAACAAAGAATTTTTAGAGCAACTTGCGAAGGTATACAATCAGATGTATGACTTAAAAAGGACATATTCAAGCTCTGAAACGAGTATAATATTTCCAATACACAAGAAAGGAGATAGCTCGGTTGCACCCAATTATAGGGCAGTAGCGTCTATGAACACAAAAGCAAAAATATTTATAGGTGTGCTGAACGTTGGGTTGAAATCAATAATATTATGTCGGAGTACCAAGCAGGATTTCGTAAAAACTATTTCACGGTTGACAACCTACACAATCTAGCATCCATCGTAAAGTTGAAATTTGATGAAAAAGAGAAAGTATACGCTGTGTTAACAGATCTAAAGGCGACGTTTGATAAAATCGCTAAAAAATTACTTATGTGCTAATTGAGCAGGCGCTTCAAGTAAATTTGTAGATTTTATTGAGCAGGTTTATGAGACGACAAATTCGGTAGTCTGAAACGGCTATGCGGCACAAATCTGTGGGATTGACATGTTTAGCGAAGTAGACAAATAATAATGTTTCTTCTTCAATAGAATTTATAGGCTCCCCAATTTCACTCTAACCTACGCCGTAATGTTTGAATCAAATATGGAAAACGGGCATTTGTACACAATGGAGTTGCATTTAAGATGCGTTTGCAAGACTTTGTTTGAATATAATGAAAGCAGATTGCCAAGAATATTGTTAAAAAATGTTCTACAAAAAAATGTGTTTTGGGCAGAGAGACTAAACGTTTTGGTAAAGGAGTATGAAATGATGTAACAACAAGCCAAGCATGATAAAACAATAATTTCGTATTATTAAATCATTTAAAAGCATTGGGAAGTAAAAGTCGAATTTATAAGTACCTGGACTAAAATTTAGGGACTCAGTATTTTAAAGAAAGCGCGCATAATGTAGATTTTTAAGGCGAGATGTTACTTACTTTATTTAAAAGGCAATTACAATAGAAAGTGTGCACTATGCAACCTCAATAACGCGGAAAACATATAGCACTTATATTAGGGCCTTTTAGACGAATTTGTTTTGAAAGAGAATCTTTAGTGGAAGAGGTAGTAATCAGTGTCCTTAATGAGGAAAATGATTCTGATTGGAAAAAACTAATTAACTATATTACTAGTGCTTTGAAATACAGAAAACTTATTATAAACTAATTTAATACTTTTTAATAAAAATTTAAAATATAAGCGATTAATTTGAATTCTGCATATTTTCATTTTTGAATTGTAAATAATTTTAAGCAAGAAGGTAAATTTATATAAATCCAACACCTCCGACAGCCGACTATCAAGTCATTGTCGTATTCAATATATTTTTAAGTAACTCTAACCAATGTTTTTAGACTTAAGGCATAATACTTACTTAACATATTAAAACAAAATTTGAAATTGAATAAGGAAGTATCTATTTATCTATCTACAATAAAATAAATATTTTTATATTCATATATAACATTTTATAGCGTATGGTTAGAATTTGAACTGAACTTGTAATTACTTAAGTTTACAAATGTATATTTGCAGAGAAGAATAAGAATTAAAAACTGACTGACCTTTCAAAATATCAGGATCTTTATTTTAAAACATCATAAAACATTTCTATTTTATAGATATATAAATTATAGAAGATTTCGAGGTAGAAGTATTGTGAACAATCGCTTAAACAGGCGTTCAATTATAGTATAACCAAGATAAAGAACATCTAAGTTCAGTGATAAAAATCTCAATGTATAAAAAGCGATATGTAATATGTGAATAAATTGCAGTTTTATATATAATTGTATAGAACTTAAAAAATTTCTACCAATTTGCCTGAAAATAAATTTTAAACAAGTAAAATATTTGATTGTTTTCACTGTGAGCACTAGACAAGCTCCATAAAATTGTATTAATGGCGACATATATTTCAAAGCTTTACAAATTTTAAATAATTTGGGTACCAAAAGTGTACGAATCTAAACTGTTAACAGAGTATACTTCTATATACAAAACTCAGTTTTCTGACATTAACTAATATCATGAAAATTTACGATTAAAAAGAATGCATTTCATTAATATATTGCAAAGACTTAGAAAAAATTAATGCTATTAAAAGCCGATAAAGCAGTGAGGTTTCAAAGTAAAGCCATATAATAAATTTTATAGCAAAACGAAACAAAACGATATGTGCAGAATTCACATATTATTTTGGAAGTAATAACGTTCTATAATTTTCCAAATCTCAAAAATTGTGTTGGAACTATAATTTAGTCAAAATGAACACCTTACGATTATAACTGAATATTATGAATGGAGACAAATTGCTTAGCAAAACTCATTGGAAACTACATTTAAGTTATGTTGACAATATGACATAAAAAGTAAGATTAGCTTTTATACCAATAGAACTTATCACAATTTTCTTAATCTCAATATATAAAACATGATTTTGTATGAGATATCTTTTATATACTTAAAGCAATACAGAAAATTGTGTTTTACATATACTATTAGAGGTTATTGTGAGACCTCTTAAATAAATTGTTGGAAATAAAATTTTTAGTTTCAACATTCATCCCAAACTGTTTAAACGTATTGACTACAAAAGAACACTCAATCTTTTCTGTTTAAATTGAATAAATAATTTAGGTCTACAAAAAAAGAAATTGAATATGTCGATTTTTAATTTTGATTTGGACACAAGTTTTGATCCTGAAACGAAAATATGGAGCGGTGCTAAGGAACAAAATTACTATGATCCCAACTGTTCAATAGGACAAATAGTTTTTGAAGAAATGCGCAGACGTCCTAATAAAATATGTCAAGTACGTAAAAAGAAAGTGAAGCATTACATAAACTGAATTTAATTAATTATTTTATTACATTATATTACGAACTTTTAGTTGTAGTTTTTAATTTAAGTAAATATTTGTCAAATATTTTATTCGTTTTTTTGTTACCAAAAAATTATACAATAATTATTGAATTATTGGATAATTAATCAGGGGTGACCCTAAAAATGACTATCGAAGATAGTCGAAATATTGGAATATTACTTTGATAAAATATAATTAGTTTTAAATATAAATAATAAATTCAAGTTTTAAAGACCAATTAGCTTGTTGAATAATTATTATGTAAATATTTGCGTTAATATATTGTGTGTTAAACATTTGTGTTAATAAACAGAAATATCAGTTAAATCTGTGCAGTTTGATAAGATATATTGAGAGTTAATGGGATAGTAAATTGTATTTAGAAACAAAATAATCATTTAAACTGAGTTATTCCAAAAATGATACTTAATAAAACCCTGTTATTTTATTCTTCTACAACCATTGTTGTTTCGATAGCTTCTATGGTTTCGATGTACTCTTTCTAAGAGTACATGGATGTATATAATTATTTATTGTAGATAGTGTATTATAGTCAACTATCAATGCACATGAATTATTAAAAATAAAAGCTAAATCAAATTTTGCATACAATATAACTATTAGAGTTATAGGTTTATGAAATTAAATTCACTTTTAAATAATTACTAAAAAGAAGTACCTACATCTGCACGGAAAATGTAATGTCTATAGATATTATTTTCCTATCTTTAAACTGAATAATTCTAAACAG